TCTTCTTTCAGCCACCAATTCGTGGCCCTCAACTCCTCCACATCTTTCAGTAAGTTTGCATTCCCTTCTTTCTCTCATTTACTTTACTAACGCCTTTCTTACCCGCGTGGACTCACTCCAATCTCTTCCTTCTCCTCTTCTCCCATTCTAGTGGTCCAAACGACGGTGGTGGCGTCTGCGACATCTCTTTTCTTCCTGTTGTTCTACCCAACCCCAACCTGACTAAATGTTGATCGGCCACTAAGTGTATCACCTCGTGATTTGGCTGCTTCCCTAACTGACCAACTGACTCAGTGATTGACTCCCCCACGTTTTCCTTACTTTCCTACGACCTCTTTTATTGTTCGACTGATTGTTAATAAAAGAGTTGGGTGTTTCAGTTGGCAGTTTCACTAGGCTACGAGTGCAAGACAATGTCACAGTACTTGACCTGAATGCCCACCAGTCTAATGTGATGACCAGCTCTTTGATTGTTGCAATCTCTGAAGCGATGATAGTGGGGCAAATCTTGGATATGCTGAATTGAGAGAATCGGTTGAATGGAAATGCAGTGTTAAAGAGATTGCATTGGCCATAACCTGACGGTGGGTGATCAGTTAATTTCATGCTGGCTAACTCAGTTGTAAATGGTGAATGTCTGTTAGGGAATGAAGGAGGGGGTTAAAATTGTAAAGGGGAAATTGAAAGGCGATGCGTAGTGGAGAAGCGACTGTAGTTGTAAATCCTGAATTGAGAGTAGGAAGTTGGATTGAGGATTATGTTGGATCTATGAAGAGGGCGCAGATGATAGTTGAGCTGCGATAGAAGCGCTCCAGTGTTAATGTCGAAGGTCAAGTGGGAAGAACGTGGATCACTAGTACGCGAGGTCAGATTGCTATAGATGTGTCCTATCTGTGTCGCAATTTCGGAAATCTTAATCTACTTTGATAATGTGTTCAACAATCTCTTTAAGCAAGGAAGTCATGCATTCCGAAGCATTTCTCAAACTATTTTGTCCCAATGTCTAATTTTTGACAATATAATTAGACATAAAACAGGTTCCTATTTGGAAATATAAGATGCCATTGGGGGGCTAGATTAAAATGCCCTGTAGGCATTTGACAGGATAATGGTGCATTGCCATATCCCGGTGATGGTAGCCGATTTCTCCTCATATTTGGCACTCATCTTTGTCAATTATACGATGGAGGAAGGGAATTTGCAAGCAAATGCATGAGGTGATGAAGGCCATCCTTGTCATGTGCAATTGTTTCTATACCCACCTCTGCCTCTGCCCTGTGTTGCGGTAACCCACAGATCGGGCAGTTGGATTAGAGTGGTTCACCTAGCACACTGCCACCTAATTGACCGGTAAATGCTGCGCATACTGTGGATCTCCTTGTGGGCTTAATGTGAATGACTCGACACCAATGGATGTCTGCAAGCAACTAGCTGCATTCGGACATGAGCCAGGCGGCTGAGGAGGGACTACAAGAGTATTCATAGTCACTTCTTTGTCAGTGCTGCCATTGCCTATTTTGCAATGGTTGCCTAGCACCGATATAAATTGCTGGCATATGACACTGGATAGTGTTGAAGTGGTAAGAAAAGGGAGAGGAATGTTGTGCCTGAGGATGAGGAAGAGAAGCTTAAGGAGAAACAAACAAATGTACTGATTATAAAGGGTCAGCAAGGTATTTGCGTATTAAAGGGTGCCTCTAAAGCAGCAAAGGATCCGTCCAGGCACCTTTGTCCTTTTTCTTCCCCTATTTCTTACTGCCTAGCAGATGCAGAGGTGGCGAACTGCCAGAAAACCAAAATTTATCCATCGAGCCATTTTCGTGTATGATAGCTAGGTCCAATTACCGGGTTTTAATTATAACAGATGCTTCATTTAACCGCAGTGATAATGGTTGTGTGCAGATTGGACGAGTGGTTGCCAAGATGGACGGATTTGTGCTTGCATAAGTTGACGTCCACAACGCATTTCTCCTCCGTTTTGCCGTTTGCAGCGACGAATTTCGGTGTTTTCCATATCACATATGTAACTGACTTTATTGTTGGTAACAAGCACAAAACTGCTAAATCCTTATCGAATTCCATTATACGATCTTCCACTGAGCAATTAACTTGATGGTACTCAGAGTTTGGAAGGAGAAAAGATAGAGGCGGAGGTGGGGCGATGGGAGAAAGAGTGGATCGTCGTTATGCATTGCCAAGAAAAGCATCTAAGCCAGATGTGCCCTTAATTCTGGTAGTCATTTATGACAGTGAATCCTTCCATCACAGTTCTCAGTATAGGTAGAGGGGATTATGCGTTCAACTGCAGCGTGCTGATGCTCGTTGAAGTTCTATTTAGGGTCCTGC